TTAAAACTAAGTTAAAATAAAGAGTTTATTAAATTAATCCAATATTTTATCAAATACACCTTCCTTCAATTAAAATATAAATATTTTATCAATATCTCTAGAACAAGTAACCTACTACAATTAATAGATTATTTATTAATTATTATCTGATTGTATTTTTAATCGAATATTAATCAATTTTATTAAATTAATAATTTAATACTAATCAATTATAATAACATATTTTAGTCCTTTTTATTTTAAATTCCTCTTTTCCAAATTATTATTTCATTCTTGCCAGTTGCATAATATTAATAAACTCTTTGAGTCGTTTTGACATAATGCATATGCTCTACTCCTAACTACTACACTTTAATTGACTAATTCTTACCTCCAGAGAATAGTTGTCCTCATTTTAATTTAAAATCAAACAAAATATTTAATCAGTATGTTACTAATAGAATTATGAGCTAATCTAAAATTTTATCTATTTAATTTCCAAATTCTTATTGTCTGATATCTACTGAACCTTTTAGAAATGTATCCTACTTTCTACTATAAATTAAATAATTAACATAATCACCATGTCATTTAGCATAATTGATCCAGAAGAATTGAAAGCTATACTTAAACATAAATCCTCTTATTTAACAGTTTAATCTAGTAACTTAATTTTCCTATTATAATAATTGTACCAGTAATATTGAAATATTGCCCTTTAGATTCAATTTTTTTATTTAATGAATTATTATTTAGATTCTCAAATTAAAATATCTATCCAAAGACCTGATAGAATTTGTTTGTATTTTTAGTTCTGGAAGATAATTGTATTATTAATTTTGGTGCAGCTTTTTAATTCCAATTGTTGTATTCTTAGCTAATATCTTTGATGAATGAAATTAGATTAAATCTCATATAATTATTTTTATTAATAATGATTTCTAATTCCTCATGAAAACTCTATTGTCAATATTTCAATCCTTAGATATATGATTGCCAGGTATAACCTAGAATAATTCATAAAAATTACAAGTAAGCGGCTATATAATATCAACCATATCCTTATGGTATGTTTCCATCTACTGGCTGAAGTTTAAAGTTATTTGAAAAAGTGATCAAGGAATTAAATAATAGTAATTGTAATTAAATATTAAAAAATCTTTAATGCCCCTTAATGCAGTTTATATTTATCTTATTTGTTCAAGCTTAAATGTAAAAATAAATCCTATTCTATATAAAGCGGTTGCCATTCATCCTCAAACCTTATTAGTAAAGCTCCTACTTATTTTATAATTTCTATACATCTATATACACAATATAGTTTTCAAATATTAATCTTTGTCAATTTTCTCCTTTTCTCTGTTATCAATTCAGTATATTATTAAAATATTATATTCTGTAATTTCATTTCCCTTCAAAGCTTTCAAGTGGTCAGCATCTACTACAATAATTAATTGTATATTCATCCTTTTTGTTTCACTGGCCATATCTTGAAGCATACCCAAATTAAAATTATTTAATTTACTGATAAAAAATTGAATTAATGTTCGATTTTTAATTATTTCAATAACAACCCATATTTGTTCGATAGCTATATCTTAAATTGAAAAATTTAGTGTTTCACAATTAAAAATTGATTTTTTTTTAAATAAGAATTTTTTCTTTAACATATAAAATATATATAATTTATTTATTCACAATTATGAATGCATAAACTCATTATTTAGTGTTTACATATTTCTGATTCTTGTTGCCATAATTGATGATTAAAGAAAAAACTACAAAAATTTTTGTGTTAGTGGGGTTCAATGAAGAGAAATCTAGAATGAATCAAAGTTTTCTCAAATAAAATTTAATTCTAGTGGTAATATTCAAATCTTGCCTCTCTAGCTAGCATCAGAATTGTTTTTTAAGGATGATCTTTCAAAATTTTCTTCATGTACCAAATTCCTCACTCAATTTGATCCAAAGTTCTTAAGGAGCTAAGTTTGATCAACTCGTTCCCACTCCGTCATGTTTATATTCGTCACCATCACTTATATAGATGCTCTCATAATCCAATCAGGCATTACCTAAATTTAAAGCATAATTAATATCGTATATTGTTTCAAAACCAATCTATTCCAAATCTTCTTTGCTTTTTGAATAAATAAGCTGTATAACATTTACATTATAATCTATAGTAATTAGTACCAAAAGTGACTATAAATACCCCATCATATATTCCAAGTACACAAATTGCTATGATATATTATTTATTCTGCTTTTATTAGCTTAAATCGTTTTGGAAAACTATATATTAACTTTTGAATTACATTTAAATAGATTATTATTGCCTTTCAAATAATTTGTACCATCACTTATTACATAACTGCTAAATTAGTTATAAATATAATAAAATTCAAATTCACAATAATTTATTTTCATTATATTATATCAAATGTAATAGAAATAACTTTAAATATAAAAAATTTGAAATTTGCAATGATTAAAGACTGTTTAATAAAGATTAGATTAAGAAGATGATTTTAATTGCTGTTCATATTGATTTTATTTATAATTTAGATTTTCTAATTTAAAATAAACTATAATATATAAAGCTTTATGAAACAAAGCATCAATAAGTAGAACAAAAAATAGACGAATTTAAATAAAGTTTTGAGATAAATATACAAGAACAAATATATTCAAAGAAATTTGTTATTCTGATGTAGTCAAAGTGTCTAAAGAATATATTGTATTGCAACTTGCCATTCAATGTTATAAGAACTAAATGCGATTGAAAAATAATACTGTAACTATTGCATAGGATTTCATTAAGAATCACTAATATTCATTTTTCTTTACAAGTAATTCAATAGATATTATCTCTAAAGGCAAGTTGCACAAATTTTTTACATAATTAGCATTTATTTTCGATATCTATTTATAATAATCTAAGAAACCATTAATCAAAATTATTTATATTTGAACAAACTTAAAAACCTTTTTTATAACTTTAGTTCAAAGTTTAATTTAAATCTACAGCTATTTGTTTATAGCTAATCTTTTTTAATTATTTCTATTTGATTTAAGAAGTAATCTTAATTGAATTCAAAAATTTAGGCATCTTCAAATAGTCTTATCCAAATATCAGATACTAAAGTATTACCATCAGGAGAAAAGCAGGTTTAGTTTACAACTACAATGACCCTCGAATTAGATGATCTATTATTTTTAATATTGAATTTCTATGACTTGGTTTTAAGCTTTATACTTCAAATGGAGAAAGCATCTTATGTATTAATTTTCAGATATTCAAAAAACAATAAATATCAAAGAACTTTTTGGTAACTTGATTCTATAAAAATATAGAATAATTAAGTCAACTTATTGCAAAAAAAGCGGAATGATATATAATTAAGCCTTGGTAATTAGAGTAATGAACAAGTTGGAGATCTTAATAAGAAAAACTAAGATGGAAGAAAAGAATAGCATTTCAATAAAAATATATAGTTTGCAAACTAACTAAAGAATATAGAAGTAGACAATTTTTTTAAAGAAGAGATTTAAAACAATATCTTCAATATAAAAATTTATTCATTTCATAATAATATGAAACTTCAAAAGCCAATTGTTGTTTCATAATCCTAATATTTCTCCTAAATTATTTAGAATTTTTTCTTCAAAAATCTTTTATATAATGAGTTCAAATCAATATCTATCAGAAAAAATAAATCAATTTGTTTTAAATAAAAACGAAATTAATTCTTATCTAAAATAAAACAAAATATTTGTTGATTTTCAAACAATACAAATAATTTATCACATATTAACTTATAATTTAAAAATAAAACAATATAATACAACTTAAATTTAAAATAAGACAACTATTTGTTAATTTATTACATAATAAGTTATTATTTTTTTTAAATTAATATGATTCTTAATTTACTACAAAACATATTGATTATTATTTTATAATTATAAATTTTTAGCTTTAAAATAAAATATTATAACAACATAATCTATGTTTCAAAATCATAGCTAAAGCTAAAAAAAGCCTGAATTCAAAATAATATCAAAAGGTTAAGTTAGATTTTTAACTAAATCAGCCATATCTTGGGTTTATTACTCTAACTTATAATCAAATTTCTTCTTTGATATGTGGTCATACTTTTTGAAATACATCTTAAATAATCTTAACAAACAATCACACTAATAACAATGTGATAATTTTAATTATATATTTAAAAAATATAATACTCTTATAAACTTAATTAATTTAATACCTTATATATGATTTAACTTTCTATGAAATTATTGCAAGATAACTTGATAATCTTTAAGTTTAAGAATGTAAAGGAAATTCAACTGTGACTTAAGGAAAAAATAAAAGAAATATTGTAATTTCAAAGTTGGGTATCAAGGTCAAAACCTTTGACGACTAATATATCTATCAGACAACTTCAAAAATACTTGGATCTAATATAAACCAAAAGGGTATTAGGATCAATTTATTTTAGTGGGTATAATGATTTATTGAATATGGGGGAGAATATAAAGGTATTTAATTTTTAATTAATAGTATAATTTAGCTCTCCAAGACTTATCAAAACTAATTTCTTCATTAATCCAGAATATTTTTTTGATAAAAATATTATCTAAATAACAAAAGTAGAGTAATATTTAAAGGTATCAAATAATAATTATGATTTTGTGATTTGATTTCACTCATATTGAAGATTATAAATAATTAAGCTGTTTATAATTTTATGAGCATCAATAGGTTTAGTCAGAAGACAAAATCTACTCTAAATAAGGGAAAAGTCTTTAGTGACTAATTGTACCAAAAGATAAAACAAGGTTTTGAAAAAGGAGTACGACCAAAAGATATTTAATCTTAAAAAAATTAAAATATAACTAAAATCAAATAATTAATAATATATTTTTTTCAAGTATGCATTTATTCTATATTCTTAAAGAAAAAAGGAATGCAATAGTTTGTTTGATTTCAATATGAAGATTCTAATTCTAATACAATCAAATCAAAATCTTCATAAAATTTTGTTTATATC